AGCTATGTTCATTAAAGAATCTGATGGGAGGGAGGAAAAAACTCCAGTCTCCTCCTAGTGAGCAGGAAACCTCGCTGCTTAAGGATGTATACAACTGTTGACTGCTTGGACCAAAAAATGTGTCTTTGGCCTTGTGTAGTGCTTATCTCAAAGGGCCACAATATTTTATTGTGCTATTCCGCTGTAAAACTCCTCAAGAAGCTTACTGACAGTATTTCATTTAGCAGCTAACTGGACTAATGATGTCACAGTGCAAATACTTCCTCATCTGATGCTCCACACATGCACAAACAGAAATTTTACTGGGTAACTTTGAGTACTGCATATACCTAAGTCTAGCCCACACCCTGCTATTCTCAAAAAAAGATTCCTTATTAGTACTCTGGGATGGGATTCCAGTTCTTCCCTACTCTGTTACAATTTCCTTGTATAACCTTGGAAAAGCCATTGTTTTCCAATCTCAATTCCTCATCTGTAGAACGAGAGTAAGAGATAATTTATCTTAATGAGCACTTGAGGTCTACATTATTACGTCAGGTGCAGTAGTTACAAATGCAACAGAATCACCAAATAATATTTACATATTCTCCATTCTTCATCAAGTTGTCTGCTAATCCAATATCTACATATTATAAGCATGTTTTCTAGCTCTAGCATTAATAGCACGCTTAAGCAAAGCAGAGCGCAGACCTGGGCTAAAAAGTTTTGCTGGGGATCCTGGTGAAGAGGTGAGATAGTGCCTTCTGGGCCAAACCAAGCATTAATGGTGATGTCATCCTCTTCCCCTTCCCCCAGGCAGCAGTAGTCAGGGATACTGATATCCTGCTTCAATTCTGGGATCTACCTCCATAAAGAAATAAACATATTAAAAGAAAGGTATGTGCTGATTTGCACAAGATACATAATTCATAGAACAAAATAGCTGGGCTTGACACAAAGAGAGCAAATGACCTACTGGTCCAGCAAAGGCTGTGGAGAAGCAGCTGGAGTGCTGGGAACCTGCAGGAAACATCTCCAAACTTTCTGTCCTAGCAAGCAAATCATGTTGGAGGGAGGGAGGGAGGGAGAGGTGGGAGAAAGACAGGAAAGGTGTTTCTTATTCTTCGGAGACTCTTTTCTCTAGTAGAATCCAGAGAAACCCAGGGAGCGAGGCCAACAAAAATGAGGTTTGCTGTTCATGGAAAAGGAGCAATTTATCTTTTTTATGCTAAGCCTGCTTCTCCATGAGATTCCTTTATACCTGTCCCACCAAGCTAATCTCCTCTAGTTACCTAGAATTATACATCAGATGGTGAACACATCACCACTGAAGACTGCTGTCCAAATCTCTTCCCTGAGTGACATATTCTTCGGGGAAATGATGCTTTCCAGGTGATATCCATATAAGTAAATGCTACACTGCACTGAAACAGTGCTAAAACTGAATGCCTTCGCTCCTGGAAGGATTTTGTTTCCACTCCTTTCAGTTAAGTGGAGTGAAATCATCCCTGTTCCTTCACCTTGTGGGAAAAACAAATACAGGAATACTGTGAATTCCCCCCATATGGCCCTCCACCTAGCAGAGGTGACATCCTCAGAGATGACTTGTGATGACTTGTGCTGCAAAGGGAACAAATGACTGCAGAAAGATAAAAACATTCACTCAGTTTTACCTGATCAAAAAGCTGGTGCTGGGCAAGGTATCCTACACTGTTCTGAAATTACAGCAGAAAAAAAATCATAGTGACATATACAGTAAGGCTTCTCAGTCATGTTTATGGAATTTATTTATAGGTAAGATCAATTTCCAATGTGCTATTTCAAAGTACCAGAATTGCCTCAACAGTTGACTATACTATAAAGGGCCTTCTGGAATAACAACTTACATCTATACTGAAATTGCAAGAGTGTAGATATAGCCTCACAATTAACAAGTTACCTAGCCTAAGTTACTGGAAGGAACCTAGCTATAATACTACGGAGTATGGCAGTTCTTATCACTCCTGTGACAAGGCTCTGCAGTATTATAACTAGACCCACTGCTGGCATGCGGACTATTTCACCTTCACTCCCTATAAATATCTTCATATTCTAGTCAACTTGCAATGACACACAGTTCTACCTGCCAGAAGACTAAGGAACAGAAAGGAGGACTTCTGATCCGCAGCTGTCAAAATAAAAGGACATTCAATAGCTAATCTATTCATTTTTTACCTGGTGGGATATGAATTTGGATCTAGATGCTAGATCTCACTGAGCAGCTTAATAACTCACAGGAACAGTACTGCTGGCTGAGGAGCTGAATTAAAATTCCTTACTCTAAATCGGACACCACCATCCAGGCTTTTGCTGCAGATAGTATCTATTCATCAAATTCCAGCTGCTGTACATTTGATTATGTCTAAAGTCAAAGCCAGTTATTTTTGCAATAAGTATTTGTGGCTTTGGATCTTGAAAATATTTCAAATCTTCTAATTCGGAGATGTGTCTATAGTGTGTCCCCTCCATTAAGATCACCTCTAAGCACCTACGTTCTAATAAGCTCCAACTAGGCAGAAATTGTCTGCTCCAGCACCATGCTGCTGTATTGAGAGATGAAACAACACAAGAGCGACAGACCTCATTCACGATATACTGGTTGATGAAGTCACTGACAGTCATGAGCTTCTGAGACCATTCCTCATCTGTGTATCGGGAACCCAATTCTACAGGAACTGTTCGGCACCCCGCAACTTGACAAAAATAGTCCACACTGAAATACAGAAAGGTCCATTACCCTTTTATACCATTCTTCGAGTAGGAAATCCAACTTTCAGAATAACAAATGCTACCACCATGATTTCTTCCCTCCAAAAACCAACCAGCTAGAGAGACAAAGGGTAGCAGAAAAAGATGCCAGCAGCAAGGAAACAAGCAGTCAAGTCTGTATATATTTTATGCTGTGAAATGTTTTGGTTCTTTTTTTTTAAATATGCATGGCCTATTTTAAAGCCTTGTTGAATATTTACCTTACTTAACTATCATTTCCTTATGAGCTAAGGAGATTTAAGCAGCTAGTTTCTCCTGACCAGTTATACAGCTTATCTTTTTGCTGCCTTTTACTAAGTTTGCTAAATAAAATACTGTATCTTTTTATCATGAATGCTAGATCAATTCTCTGTCAGTGCCAATAATATCCACTCTTGCTACAGTTGGAGGATTTTCTTCAAAGGCTGATATAGGTCTCTCCATTCACAATGATCTTAACTAATTTAAGTAGTTCATCTTTTTAAGTGTCTGAAGTTAGGCAGTGGGGTATCTTGCCTGAAAGGAGACTAAAAGACCTATGAAATAACAAACACGCTCAATTAATGTAGAATCTACCCTTGATTATGGAATATAAGTAATTCCTTAAACTAAGCTTTTCTGAGTTTTGTCCTCCCTTTTCAGAGGAGTAACAAGCTTTATGCTACAAAAATTTGATTCTCAATATTGGAACCATTGGCTGCACTGCTTATGATAAACAAGCTGCACAATGTTATTAGTTCTGAATGCAGGTGTCTGAAACTCAACACTCACTAGAGCCATTAAACAAACATAAATACTTGTACTTGTGAATGAAAAAGTCAATCATGATTATTCGTGCAGCTCGGAAATCCACTTCCCATTACACTATTTATCAACAAGTTTTGATATGTAAAAAATCACTGGCTTACGTCTGACTGAGACTAATCCACTTAAAACGTGAGCAAATTCACTGGAACAGTTAGCAATATATGCTCACTTCTTTTTTTCAGCTAAGCAAAATGGAGCATCAGGGATTTGCTGAAGTGTTCTCCTGCTTCAGCCCCTGAAAGGGCTGCATTCCAGTACGGTCTCTTCCAGTACCTGTTTTCACTAACATAACTGCATTACAATGCAATATTCTAAACTGATTTCATATGCTTGACTGCTATCATCTGTGGGGAAACATGTCAAAAGTAAAGAAAACATTGCATCACAAAGATGCTCCTAACAAAAAAAAATCACTCCTGATGGCACTGGTCTGCTGTGAAGTTCTCTATTACTACTACACTGATGCCTGACCCACAAAACAACCCTTGTCCTTAGCTGGACAAGGAGCGAGGCACTAGTTTCTCACCTCCACTTCTTCATACATGGCCAGTGGTCGATAATCCCTTCTAAGACAACTGGCTTTTGTGGAATTAAATAGTTGTCTCTGAAATGCTCCAGCGAAGGGCAGTGAAGATGTGGGAGAGCGTCTTCTGGCTGTATAGCAGGAGCTGGAGGAGGATCAACCCGGACCTTCTGCAGGAGAAACATCCTCGGGAAACAACTGCTGCTGACTTTCTCCTCTGTCTCCTCAGCCTGGCCCACGACACCCCGCACAGGGACGCAGCGCTGCCTGTGTTGAGCCGGCGCAGGGACCCGAGGGGACCCTGGGACCCCCGGGGGGGAAACAACGGGGACCCTGAGGGGGCTCGACCGGCTCCCTGCACCCCCCAAGAGGGAAGGGGGATCTTGGGGGGGCCCGGCTGGCTCCCTGCACCCCCCAAGAGGGAAGGGGGATCTTGGGGGGGCCCGGCTGGCTCCC